TTCGCATTTGTTTGAGGCTCAGAGTCTTTCTGGGCTGGCTGTGGTGGCATTACGGAGGTTTTCACATCGGCCGCATGATGCTTTACTAACCTATGCTCAACATGACATGTGCATGGGACTTCAGCTTCACTGGCTATGGCGGTTTTGGCACTTTCTATTGGGCATGTCGGTTCAGGCATAGAGACACAGGTGGTTGTGTGTGTCTCAGCTATCTCGGAGAACTGCGGCTGATCACCAGTTTGGTGGGCAAGCTCATTTAAATCCAAAAGAAACAACCCTTTGCTGGTAAGCACGAGAGGCACTTCTCGGTTAATCTTTCTAGAAACCAAAACTTTTCGCTCTGTGTCTATTACGGCTCCGATTGCTCTCAGCAGGGTGTTTGACAAAAGGAAGGGTGTGGCGCCCGGCACAATTGCAACTTTCAGCAAAAGACCATGTATAGGGACCACCAAAGCTTGTTGACTCTTCAAAACTCCATGATTGCCAAAACGAAACGTGATCTCGCAAGCACACCTCGTGACCTGTTTTTGAAGTGAAGGATTTTAACTGTTGATTAACTCAGCTACCTTATGACTTCCTATGACGGTCTTAGTGGCCCCAAGGTCTACCACCCCATAACTACCATGTGATGCAAAGAGGGCCGATGCACTCTCAGGAGGGTCCACAGGCATTTCAGGTCGTGACTGTCTCAACTCAGAGGCAAAACGTTTCAGGCGCGTCCTGATCTCAGTCACGTCGTCGTCATTCCTGGCAGTGGTGGCATTGCGATGATTGTTGTTCTGCCATGACTGTACTGTTCTCATGAGTCTTCTTTTGGGATTTTCCTCATTCATGGTCATGAAAATGTGTGCATTAACATGAGTCTGAGCTTCATCTCTGGTTTCCATGTCAGCTCGAGGCAAATTCAGGAATTCGATGGGCAGGGCATCAAGGTTGAGTTCTTCGGCTTCCATCTGTGAGCTTTGCACAAAGGTCGTAGGAGCTTGTGAGCTCCTGGCATTGGATCCTGAAGAGTCGGTCCGATTTGGGCACTCGGCCTTCCAGTGTCCGACCTTGTTGCAGATCCTACACCTGGACTCCAAGATTCTCTGTTGCAGGGATTTTCTGGAGGATCCATGACCCTTGCTGAACTTACCCTTTACCCCTTTACTGGACCCCTTATATTTTCCTTTTACATGAATTGGCCAAAAACCTCTCGACCGCACCTTCTCATTCAAGCGCCTGCGCGCATCTGCATAAGTTGTATATGCAGACGCTAGCTCTTCATCAGATTGCAGAAGATCCACAGCAGCTGCTTCGAAATCTGACACTAACACGGCGTCCTCATCTCCCTCTTGGGCTAAGGAGTCGATCCACGTATCATCATCTTCCATCTGTTCAGCTGCAAAAGTGAAATTTTCCTGGTCTTCGGATTCAGTGGCGTCGGCAAGAAGTGCCGTCTGATCATAAGTTTTCAGCTTTGCATTCCTTTTCCCATGTGTCATCTCATGAAAGAATCTGGCTCCCAACATTCGAATGGATGCGCCGACACGTTTGACTGTCAGCGAACCACCATCAGTCACATCTGCATCAACCAAAACTCGTTTCTTGTCATCTGCAGAAAGGTTGGACCCTCGAAGGGTTATGTAGGCCTGCAAATCCTCAAGTTTCAGTTGTTGATTCGTCAGTTCAGTCCACATGATGTCTGCACGGGCTAAGTACGAATCTGCACTTTCATCCGACTTCTGCTGGCATTTGAAGAGCGCTCGTTCAGCATGCTCATACTTCTGTTCTAGGTCTATCTGTCCCCAGTGTCCTCCTAGGAGCTCCACGATTTTGGCGATGCATTTTCGATCATTCTTGGTGATCTGATCTTGATGCAACTGGAGTTTCTTGAAGGCTGAACCGCTGCAATTCAGAATGAGCCTGGTGGCAAGTTCTGTATACCTACCTGTTGGCCATGCTTCAAGCAGCAGCATCACTTTCTGGGAGTAAACCTGAAGGTCATCCTTGCTTGGGTCGAATGTGGGCACCAACGATGCCAACTGGTTCGAAATTGGCTGGGAGGCTTCAGTTCCATCTGATGCTTCTGACATGTCTATTTTGGTTCACACCTAGGCAGCACAACGAAGGTCAACAAAGGTCTTTCCCCGGATGTCCGCTCAGGCTTTCTGGTTTTGCGGTAGCTCCGCTACCAGTGTGGTTGACAAGAAATGTCCAACCCCACTGGCAGCTCTTTCCCAACACAGCGACCTTTTCCACGATCGCAAGGCTCCAAGGTTTCACAACGCCCAAAACAGGCAATGGTAAAAGATTCCAGCTTCTATGCCACCTGCAATGCGGCTGATCCCTGTCAGTCTTTCCAAAGGGCTGCCTCGCCCTACCAAAGCAAAAATGGCCAAGCACTGAATCCCTTCCCTACCCACTGACCTGAAAGTTGGGGCTCCCTGAGCCGGTAAAGGTGCTATTGGATCAGAGGCATTCTGATGGAAAACTGTGTTGAATGTCCTGGGCTTCCGCAATGCAACAGGGGCTAAACGTGCAGCAAATGGTATGATTCACAGTATATATATATAAGCCACTATTCATGCATATAGTGTGTATAAATATACATAAACCATATAATTACAGACCAAGTATTACCCATGTGTACGCCATACGAATACGAAAACCATATATACAACCAAAAAACGTAATGTAATGTAATGTAGTGTAGTGTAGTGTAGTGTAATGTGATGTAATGTAATGTAATGTAATGTAATGTAATGTAATGTAATGTATGCATGCATGCATGTATGCAGGTATGCAGCTATGCAGGTAGGCAGGGTAATGTAGGTAAAGTAGGTAATGTAGGTAATGTAGGTAATGTAGGTAACGTAGGTAATGTAGGTAATGAAGGCAATGTAGGTAATGAAGGCAATGTAGATAATGTAGGTAATGTAGCTATGTAGCTATGTAGCTATGTAACTATGCAACTATGTAGCTATGTAGCTATGTAACTAGGAACACGGCCTTTAGAAGGCCGTAGTGTTTTTGTGATCAACGGGGTGCCATGGATGATGTTTCATGTGGTCGTGCCAATAGGATTTTGTTTGATGCGTTTTTAAAGGCGAGAAACCCCTTATTCTGTTGCATAAAATAAAAAACAAGCATTTCGCCTAGGCGAAACTATCATTTTTGATATTTCTCAGAACTCCCCAACTAATTCGACCTGTAATGGTTTGATATGAGTTGAAAGGCCGGAAACCCCTTATTCTGGTGCATGAAATCAAAAAACAAGCATTTCGCCTAGGCGAAACCACTTTTTTTTGTATTTCCACATGTTATGTCATGATGAAATTGGCACAGCCTGCCAGACGACCTTGCAACCGACCTGGATTTCCACATGCAACCTTGTCACGTATAAATATCTAATTCCTATACGTGCACAAGTCCAGAGAACTTACAGGAGCGTAGCATGACGTATCAGTGAAAAGCACCGGAGAACTTACAGGAGCGTAGCATGACGTATCAGTTAAAAGTACCGGAAAACTTACAGGAGCGTAGCATGACGTATCACTGAAAAGCACCAGAGAACTTACAGGAGCGTAGCATGACGTATCAGTTAAAAGTAGCAGAGAACTTACAAGAGCGCAGCATGACGTATCAGTTAAAAGTACCCGAGAACTTACAGGAGCGTAGCATGACGTATCAGTGAAAAGCACCAGAGAACTTACAGGTGCGTAGCATGACGACTCTACTTACCCAGCAAGTTCACATGAACGTTACTACCTGCCCCACCCCACCCCACCCCACCCCACCCATGTCTGCACGCACATACCGGCACACACAGAGACGACTCTACTTACCCAGAAAGTTCACATGAACGTTAATACATGCCCCACCCCACCCCACCCCAACCCCACCACGGCCTTCTAAAGGCCGTGCTCCAACTAGGTAGCTCTGTAGCTATGCAGGTATGCAGGTATGCAGGTATGCAGGATGCAGGTATGCAGGTATGCAGGTATGCAGGTATGCAGGTATGCAGGTATGCAGGTATGCAGGTATGCAGGTATGCAGGTATGCAGGTATGCAGGAATGTAGGAATGTAGGAATGTAGGAATGTAGGTATGTAGGTATGTAGGTATGTAGGTATGTAGGTATGTAGGTATGTAGGTATGTAGGTATGTAGGTATGTAGGTATGTAGGTATGGAGGTAGGCATAGGCAGGTAGGCAGGTAGGCAGGTAGGCAGGTAGGCAGGTAGGTATGTAGGTATGTAGGTATGTAGGTATGTAGGTATGTAGGTATGTAGGTATGTAGGTATGTAGGTATGGAGGTAGGCAGGTAGGCAGGTAGGCAGGTAGGCAGGTAGGCAGGTAGGCAGGTAGGTATGTAGGTATGTAGGTATGTAGGTATGTAGGTATGTAGGTATGTAGGTATGTAGGTATGTAGGTATGTAGGTATGGAGGTAGGCAGGTAGGCAGGTAGGCAGGTAGGCAGGTAGGCAGGTAGGCAGGTAGGTATGTAGGTATGTAGGTATGTAGGTATGTAGGTATGTAGGTATGTAGGTATGTAGGTATGTAGGTATGTAGGTAGGTAGGTATGTATGTATTGTATTGTTTGTACTGTACTGTATTGTATTGTATTGTACTGTATTGTATTCTATTGTATTGTATTGTATTTTATTGTATTGTATGTATGTACACATATATGATATATTATTGACATGTATTTACATGTTTGAATATTTGAAAGTCTTGATATGTAAATCACTGCTGTTGTTCAAGAGGGGGGCAGTGTTTTCTGTTGATCCTGGCCTCAACATCCAGCTTCACAGGAGTTTTGCCATGTGAGTTAGTCTCAAAATGGGGATACCCCAATTTATGACCAGCAAAAAAAACAATGTACAGCATGTGAACTAACCAGCATTCAGTTGTTTACCATATGAATTCGGTTGTGTACCATATCCTCCGTATACTCATTCATCCAGAGCCCATCCAGAGCCCATCTTCCAGCTGCTTCCAGAAAAGTCCCAGTCACTTGCTCCATGGTCTGGACTTCCTGACAGATTCGCGGAGCAGTGGCCCTGCCCTACACTCCAAGAGGAAATTTTTGTGGGAAAATCATCTATATATAAATATGCTATATATTCCAAGAGGGCTGCGTCCTTTCAAAAACTGGTTGGCTCATAGATGTTGATACGAATATTTCTCGGTTCGTGGATGTGTGATAGTCCTTTAACAAATGCGGACACATGTATGTATATATATATATGTGTACAAATACATATAAATATTATTATATATGTATGTATTTGTTTTTTAAATATTTATATATTCATTTAATTGTATAAAAATGTGCGGATATACACTATGGGCTGCCAAACGTCTTCTAACTGTTCATAACCGTCACTATGTTTGGTTCTTGTCGGCTATATCCCATCATGTTCCAATCACGGCTGTTGCCATCGCAAAAAGAACTATGTCATTGTCCAAATTCAAAAAATTACCCCTTTAACCGTTGATAATGGAAATCTGTTTTTGATGGTTTAAGCCATGACAAATCCCAAGTTTCAGTAAAATGCCCAAAATTATCATAAATTGCTCGTTATCGTGACCGTAATTTGCCACTTTAGCGGTATCCCCCAATTTCCGGACAAATCGATTTGATTTATGAAACCCCATCGTTTCGGCGCATAATCCCTACATGTCAGATATCATTCGACAAGCAGAATGTTTACGACCCTTCAACAATCAAACATGGCAATGGGAAATCCCCGGCACGTGGAAGCTTTCATGGGAAGGCTCAGAATTTTCCACTGCCATGCCTGACCTCTGGAGGGCAATCCCAAATACCGAATTCTATCATCACGAATAAACATCAGGAAAGGTGTGGCTACCATGTTCTGGTTAATGGCTTCAACTCACTGAAGAATATGAACATTGTCTATTTACAAGCCACCAACGCAATCATCATTGGCTATTTACCTTGAAATCCGCCTGCATTGACGGCTTCGGAGCGCAGTAGTTTGGGAGTCGAGCGATCCGAGTGAACTGAGTGAACCAACGGTTTCACGGCACAGCTTCAGGGGGGAGGGGGGCATGATCGAAATCGACCAAGCCTCAAAAGAAGATCCTCAGTTTGGGAATTTGCACATGTTTTCAATGTTTTCATATCGGCACAAGTCCAAATTCACGATTTTCGAGCAAACATGTCACTAACATGAGCTCAACTTGGGGTCGCCTTGGCGAACATGGCCCCAGCTTCCGCCCAACTTGGACCCACTTGGCTCCAACTTGAACCAAACTTGGGTCCAACATGGCGCAACTTGGACCCAAGTTGGACACGTTTGGGAGCACTTCGGCCCAAGTTGAGCTCCACACGTTCTCAACATGGGGGACAAGGCAGGCCCAGTACGAAATCCTGGAAATGCCTTGTTCACTTCTGTTTCCCACGTTTTTTTGGCATTTTTCCCATGTTCTCTCTACATCGGCTCCAACTTGGTGCGAACCTGCTGCCGAATTGGCCCCAAGTTGCACCATGTTGGACCTGACTTGGGCTGGGCCTACATGCTTGGGGCACACCTGGGCCGACTTGGCCCAACTCCAACTTGGGCTCAACTTGGGCTGCAGCTGACCCTGCACGGGATCGAGTTGCGTCATGTTAGGCCCACTTGCGCCGGAACGCCCCGAGCTGGCCCAAGTTGGAGCCAAATTCCACCCTAGCTACCAACCAGATATGCATATAAATAATGTATGTGTGTATCTATATATATATACATATATATATATATATACATATATATATATATACTCTACGATATCGCCATCTAAGTCTAATATCAAAAAGCCTTGTTTGGTTATATGCCCCTTGTAGCCCTTGTATCCGGATGATATTCCCATGATATCCCATGTTTTTTGGTTAAAAAGTTAAATCCATATGTTTCTTGCGGAAGTTCCCATTTTTGTTTGGTCAGATTCCACAATGTGTTTCTTTTGTTTAACGATAGATAGATTCTAGATAGATTCAAACTTAATATCCCCTTACCATTCACTTATCCCATTCAATCCCTAATGCTGATGGTTGTCCATTTTCAAGTCTGAGGCGTTTGATTCTCCAAAATCCCCGAAAATTCCCATTGTTCATGTTCATCTCCCAACCCGGAAAATCTCAAAAATAAAAAAAACGGAAAATCTCAGAAATCAAAAAAAACTCGAAATCGGAAAATTTCAAAAATCCGGAAGTTTGAGAAAACCCACAAAAAACCTAAATGAGGAAAAAAAAAAGGTAGAAAATCTCAAAGTGGCCCAGGCCTCGGCTCCGAAGGTCACCCTGGAAGAGGCCTTGGCCACTTTGCCGGCCTTTGGGGAGCCGCCACTCGCCTCACTCACCGTGGAGACCTCGGTGCGCCGGGTGGAGCCCGGTGGGTCCCGTGAATGGGAGCCCGGTGTCCCAAAAAATGAGAGAATGGGAGAATTTACTGAAAAATGTCTGGATACATCTAGATTATCAAGAAAATGGAGCTCATGTCTGGATAGAATTTACGTATATTTGATGCACCTGAAACCATTGAGTTCTTGATTGTGACTTTGAATGGGATTTCATCAACTAGGACCATTTTACAAAGATATTGGATCGGTTGTCCTACATTCACCATCATTCCGACGTCATAGTGCGGTCATGACAGTTTATCCAGACAAATAGCCTTGTTCAATGATTGACTCTGGGGATGAACCTGTACCTCAGCCAGATTTTTCATTGCAATGAACAATTGCTTTCCTAAACCTGGAAAATATTTAGTTTCAGCAACAAGACAGGGGGAGGGGAATTCACCAACAAACCGGAAAACATTCAAAAGCCAGAAAAGGATTGATAAACTGTAATTTTTTTAAAAAAAAATGATAACTGAAAATCTAATCATGTCATGTTCAGCATTCAAAAAACTGTTTTTGTTAGACTCAATACCAACATATGTATCCATATGTATTTTCAGGACATGTTCCAACTCGTGCCCACAAAAAAAACTTCTCTCCAAACGATTTTGCGGGGTCCACCGCCGTGGGTACCACCGCCATTTCCACGCCTTTCCGACCTTGTTTCCTTCAGGCTTTTGTTCCTCTTCCTCGTCCTCAAGGTGCACAATAATCACAACATCAGGAAACTGAAAAAATTGCAGCCCCACAGCTACCACTACCACGCAAAAGAAGTCTAGTTTAACAATCAGCGTTTTGATAAGGGCTGGGGTCACAGCCAAACCTGGTGCAGTCATCATCCATGTATTTGTTGGTGACTCGCATGACTGTATGACTTCCATGTTTCATACTGGTTAAGAGCGGATAGCATATATATATATACACACTGTATATAACCCCCTACAATCATCAAACTACAGCTGGGTTTTTCACACTGTTCATCTCTTAGAAAACGATCGCGATCGCAAAAATCAAATGGCCTCCAGTCAACTAACATAGCTATGGAAACAATTGGCCATCCATAGATCATTTACATTCATAGCTATGTTGTTGAATTACCAGAGCACATGGCGCAAGTAATGTGCATGTTCGGGTGATTCCGCTATCTTACCACGATCAACTCGATGCAAGATATTTTTTTCCTCCACGACTTTGGACTCGGCTTTACCGCTGTTCTGCATCTTTTCTTGACTTGCAATCCAATATAAATAATGTGATATCACTGTGAATTATAGAATCTTTGCACAAAAAAATATTTGATTGATACATACATACATATATATATATATAATATATATAAAAAGATCCCGTCTTCCGACCGCGAGGTCCCCCCCCCCCCCGTGGCCCCCCCCCAATGGCATGGGTCCCCAGGTAGCAACCCCTTGCCCTTCTGTTTGCAAGCTATTGGCAGCATTTCTGAGGTCCAGCCTCGTATTTGCTAGGTTTTTGCAGCGATTCTGACTACCAGCCTCGCATTTACTAGGTACATGCTACCTTTTAGACGACCTACGTAGCACACATACTCCCTCAAAGTACCTACGTGCTACCTACAGTCATATATACATGTGCTATGTATCTACTTCCTATCTATATATATATATATATATCCACAGTTCACTTTTCCTCGCACCTTTGACTAAGCTGCCCTGTCATGGCAATTGCATTGCCAGAAACCAGGCCATATGGCCCCGAGTGGCATTGTAAAATGGTGGTTCAGCTGCCAGGCCACCAAAAGGAAAATGTCACTCCCAATCGGGTGGGTGGATTGAGGGCTGAAATCTTGCAGCCATGGTGCTCTCATGGTGAAAATTGGATAACAGGCATCCACAGTTCACTTTTCCTCGCACCTTTGACTAAGCTGCCCTGTCATGGCAATTGCATTGCCAGAAACCAGGCCATATGGCCCCGAGTGGCATTGTAAAATGGTGGTTCAGCTGCCAGGCCACCAAAAGGAAAATGTCACTCCCAATCCATCCCTTCTATACTGCTTGCATTCACCGGAGAAACAGTAGAGCATCCACTGTAGAAACGGTAGAAAACTGAGAAAGGAAAAACTCATGCTTCGGCATCTATTTACACTTCAGAGGCAGCAAACACAGCTCTCATCACAGTGCCAGTATGTGAACTCAGGAAAGCAATGTTGGCCTTGACTTTCGGACCCAGCTGGTGGAGAAAAAGCTGAGCACCTACCTCTTGAATGTAATATTCCAGGGTACGCATCTTGGCCCATCGGCCGCGCCAGCAGATCTTTGACAGGTCCTCATCTTCCAGGTACAGATGAGTAGCGCCTGAGCCCCGCAAGGTGCCTGGCGTGGCCCCCCGTACATTTTGCTTGTGGGGGACACCTATGTGACTCAGGACTGCATTCCACTGCCGACGGAACACCGCCATGGATGCGTTGAAGAGTTTTGAGGCCATCGGCAAACTCCAAAAGACCTTTCTAGCCAGCCAAATCACTGAATCATCCAAAACCTTCACATGCTGTCTGCGAGCAAACCTAGCTGTCTTGGGGTTCTTGATGTAGATGTACATTGCAGCTCGCTGCTCCAAAGTGTCCTCTGGAAAAATCAAATCAGAGCGCATCAAATTGACAAACTCATTGGGATGGAGCATGCCAGAGAAGCCCAATGCCACTAACGCAGCAAAACTGCGCCACCCCCAGAGCAAGGACAAACTAATGATGGCTCGGATGAGTGGAGCTGACAACACTGCCCTACATTGACCCGGCTCTTCAATCTGCCATTTGCGGTCCACTTGCCATGCACCAGCCAGAAAATTGCGGAATTGAGGCCGCAAATGTTGAACAGCTGTAATAGCATAAACCAGCCAGTACCTGGGTTTCCCAGCAGCAAAACACTCCTTCCCATAGGCCCGCAAGGCTGCATCCACCGCCTCAGCGGTCACCAGCACAGCTTCCAGAGAGGTCTGCGCACGCGTCTGCAACCATGAGCTGAACTCCTGCAAACATTTTTGCATCCTATCCAGGGTCGCCGGTGAAAAACCGACATCAAAGTCCAGCTCACCTCTAGGAATGTAGTCTTTTGCTGGTCCTGGGTTCTCCTCAATGTCACCGCAAAGCAACAACAGCAAGCGGACCCAGCGGCCCAGAGGATTCCTCCAGCATGCGCTTTTGATGATGACATCAAAGCGTTTGACACGCCCTTTTTGAAGGTCGGTCAACCAGAGAGGCGTCTCCCGCGTAGGCCCAGGCACTTCCGAATCACGAGAAGGACCATCAGCGCGGTTCCAGCTAGATCTGCAGTGCAAAGTGCCTGGGTAAAGGCAACCACCCAAAACGTAGCCCAAGGAGCTACGCAGAATTCTGCTCAAAGCTCGAGAACTGCTTCTTCCCTTTGCTGCAGCGCCCATGGTGACCCTGCTGTCCAGGATTCCAAGCACCCGCGAGCGGGGGTGGCTCTTCGCACAAAACTTCAACCAAGACTTATAAACCCTGCATTCAAGAGTATTAATATGCCCTGATTTTTTAAAACGATACCGAAACATCTCAGTGAACTTTGATCCATTACACAACTCATTTACCCAGTCCGGATCCTCGTGCCATGCTCGGCGTGACTCCGGCTCCACTGTGTGCTGCGCAGTGCTGGTCGTAGGTGCACCATGATCTCGCTCCAGTTTGCTGCCGCGTGCCATGCGCTGCACCAAAGACCAGGGATACATAGCTGAATAAGCACTGACTGCTTCCCCAGGGACGGGCGCACGACCATAAACCTCTGCAGCACTTGGAGAGCACCTCTGATCAAAAAGCTCAATGGACTGGCGTGTGAAGGAGCCCTCGATGACAAAATGGCAGCCCTTGTAGCGGCATTGGCACGTAGACTCCAAAGGCAGGAGCCAGGGTTTGTTGTGTAGCCACTTCGAAGGCTTGTTAAAGCCACTGCCAAAACTGCAAAAAGGAAAACGTGTAAGCCAGCAACCCAGTGAGAGCAGAACTTGAAAACAATGCAACTCAAACATGACAGAGGCCCCTGGTTGTTCAACAGAAATGTAGGAGCCACTCAGAAGCGCTAAGGTCAAAATGAAAGCCGTACGCATTGCTAAAATGGTCTGCTCATGGGTCACCGGGTCAGAAGAATTGAAGCCAGCTGGAAACAGCTTGCTCCGCAATCTCGGGCGCCGTAATGTGCCAAATGACCAGCACGGCGGCCCAGCATGCCACTCCTTCACTTTTCCAGATGCAGCTAAGGCAGCCGTCTTCCGAAAGGTGACGGGGTCCATCAAATCACCAAAGCTCACACCAGTAGCACCGCGCTCAATGCCCGGATGCACTCGAAAACCTTCAGCAGCATGTGCCTTACTCCAGTTACCGGAGCCAGAGAACAGTTCAATGCAGTCGAAGGTCACATCTTCGACACCGGGCCACAGAGGTGCCGGCGAGAGACTCACAGCAAAGTCCACAGCCTGCTCGCTGGGAGGGCCAAAGGTTTCCTCATGGTCCAGGCCCTTTTCATGCAGCACTTCACGCGCTCCATGTTGAAGCGCGGTATAGTAACCTCTCTGCTCTGTATGACGCCACATCTCTTCGGCAGCAAAAGCGCCCACACGTGTTCTGCAGAGCGCGCCACCAAACGGACTAGCATCCATCATAAAAACATCCTCAGTGACTGACACCCGAAGATCCGCTTGAATCAGAGGACCAAGCAGCAACAGCGCAAGCAGCTCATTCACCGCCATCGCGCTCAGGTAAAAAGGTTGGTGAATTGGCAAGCCGACCCCCTCATGAAAAACTTGTTCCAGCACTGCAAAAGTAGGACGCCTGAATAAACATACATGAATCCAACATCCCAACAAACACTGCAGTATTTTTCTGGTTGCACAACGCTTGATCACAACGAAACTGGTGAGTAGCATGAGGAGTGCAACCCTGTTTCGTGGAGCCGAACATCTGCCAGCAATACCATCAATTTCAGCACCAAGGACTGTGGCAGAGAAAACGCGTCGCTGCTTCTTGCCAGGGTGGGCTACCAAACCCACTGTGTTATACGCCAACTCAGCCCTAGCAAACACTTCCAAATCCCGGTCATTTTTGGCAGGACCCCACCTTGGAGTACATGACAGCTTGTGAAGACCTATATGATCATCTATAGTCAGAAGTTCATAAAAGGGACCACGAGGAATGGGATGTCTATATTGTAAAATCTCATCCGGCCTCATACTGTCAGCTATTGTACGCAGTAGGTTAAAGTGTGATTGCTGTGCTATCTCCACTGCAAGGCTGTCACCCATCGCAAGTGTACGCAAGCAAATGTAAACAGACTGGTCTGCATACTGAGGGTCATAGCATGAAAAACCTTCAAACTCTTTTCCCAGAAAAACAGTGCCAATCGCATTCCTTGCAGCTCTTTGGGGGGAAACACGGAAAGTATAGTAAAACTCACAAAGGTCATCAGAGGAAATTGCAAGACACTCATCCGCATGCAGCCGTATCAAGCCAATAAGATGCCCAGGAGCCAAAGTCTTTGTATACGTATTGCAACCATACATCCGAGAGTTTACCACTGTAGGATTGACGATAAGCCGGTCATACTCACTGTCTTTGTTAACAGCAAATAACCCTACTGCTTCATCTTCAGGTACACAATGCACAGGAATAAGTGCGCAGGCGCCCAGCTTGTCCCACTTTTCCGCCAGCTTCTTC